TGTCGGCGCCGCCGTCATTATTTTGTAAACTGCGAATGTAATGGGCGAGCAGTGAACAAACAACTGACCGACGTCACTTCAACCCCACCACCGAGTGATATATAAAGCAGCGCAAGCGCAAGCTCGAGTCAGTCGTTCGTCGATCGTTGCCCAGTTCACACGTTACGCAATCGCTGAGTAATTTTATTGTTGGTTTTATTTGAGTGTTTCCTTTATATAATCAGTGCTGAATTATTCAATTATTATAATTAAAAATTAATGTGAAAGTAAGTTCATTTAATCGAAATAAACTAAGTGATTGTGTGAAGCTCTTTGTTTTATTTTCAAATAATGTCGGACCCTGATCCTACATATATAATATCCATCAGTAAAGTACATAAAACCAAATTAATGTAATATCCACAACATTTTCCACAGATTACCTTTTGAGACATAAGCTGTGATGAGGTCACATAACAATATTTATTATCCATATTTGAAGAAACATGCAAAACAAACAGCTATAGTAAGATACAAGATCCAAACTCCTCAGCACATCAATGACTTTACCTCTAAAATTGTTTCTATTTAACATAAATAAATCAATATCCATAAAGATTTCATTATAGATCTTCGCAAGACGCCAGAGGGGAGCACGTTTACCAGCGTTTGTCCGGTGTGATGCCTGATCAAACAATCGGTAATCGCGCACCCCGCGACGGTGCATTGATCTAGGAACCACAAGTTTAATGTTATTATTAAGGTCCATACAATTAAGCTTGTTATGGTAAAGGTCGTGAAGTGTCATTATTTGCAGAAGCATTCGTCTCTTCTCCAGTGACAGCAAATTATACCGGGCTAAAAGGTCTTTGTAGTTTAAGCGTGGAAGTTGGCATCTAAATTGCATAGTTCGTAGAAATTTTCTTTGTACTTTTTCAATGGCCATTTTATATTTACTATATAATGGATCCCATATCAGGCAAGCATATTCAAGCTGAGAACGAATAAGTGAACGATATAGATGCAAAAATGTGGAGGGGCGCCTGAAGTCTGTAGCTGTTCTAAAAACATAACCATACATTTTAAATGCTTTATTTATGATATATTCTATATGTAGGTCCAGATGCAACTTACAGTCAAACAGTATTCCTAGGTCTCTAAGGTTCGTCACTCTGTTTAGTATGGTGCCACAAAGGGTGTACCCGTATTTGATTACTGTCTTGTTTTTAGTGAAGCTAATTGTTTGGCATTTGGGGATACTTAAGTTTAACTTATTAATTGCACAGTATTCAGAAAGTCGGTCAAGATCACTTTGAAGTTCTGAGCAGTCACTAACATTTTTTATGACTTTATATAATTTCAGATCGTCAGCATATAAAAGAAAATTTGTGTGTTTGAAGCAATCATTCATGTCGTTTATAAACACAATGAAAAGAAGCGGCCCCAATATTGATCCCTGGGGAATTCCAGACGACATACCAGCTCTTCCCGATTTGTATCCATTAATTACGACTATCAGGCTGCGGTTCGATATGTATGAGCAAAACCACCTCAAAAGATTTCCCCTAATTCCATTAAACGTTATTTTATTGAGAAGAATTTCGTGGTCCACTTTATCAAACGCCTTCTGAAAATCTGTGTATACGGAATCCACCTGAACTCCCTTGTCGATATTATGGAAAAGAAAGTTAGTATAAGTTGCTAAGTTTGTCATAGTGGATTTTTGTTTTACAAAACCGTGTTGCTCAGGAATTATATAATTATGGAAGAATGGGTAGATGGCATTATGAACAAGTTTCTCGAAGAGTTTTGATGTTGCACTGATAATAGAGATTGGGCGATAATTTGTGACGTCATGTTTAGAACCACTTTTATGGATTGGGACAATGTATGCACACTTCCAAATGTCTGGAAAGAAACCCTCAGAGATGCACTTGTTAAACACGATGTTCAATGGATCACATATTGATTCAGCTGTATTCTTAAGAAACACTGCTGGCAATCCATCTGGTCCTGGGCCTTTGGAAGCATCCAGTTTCTTTAATTCGCTTTTAATAGCAGTTACACCGAGATATATATGGGGCAACAAATCACATCGGTAGCTATAATTGTCTGGTGGTGCCCAATGGGGAGTTAAGGTAGACGGCTGGTAAACAGATTGGAAAAATGATGAAAACAGATTACAAATAGTTTCCGGATCTTGCGAAGTTTGGTTTTTGTAAGTCATACTTGACGGTATACCTACATTAGATTTTTTATTCGTTATATAAGCCCAGAAATAGTTTATGTTTTTGGGTATAGAATCCTCGACACCATTAATGTACTTATTGTAACATTTTGTGGCTTCACTTTTAAACCGAGTTCTATAAAATGAAAATATCTCGTAATCTGATTCATTTTTATATATTTTCCATTTATTCCAAGCCTTGCGTTTGTTTTTAAAGATATGTATGAGAGATGGACTGAACCATACCGGATAACGCGTAGACTTAGATCTTGAAAAAGGCACATGCTTTTTGACAATGTCGTAAATAGTTTCATAGAATAAGTTAACCGAATCCTCTGCAGAAACACGGTCAAGAATCTCGCTCCAAGAGACGTCCATTAGTTGTTTATTTATAAGTTCAAAATTGGCCTTATAAAAGTTAGGTTTTTTTACTTGGTTGCGGTTCATGGTGGAAATATTGGGTGAGAAGGGAATCGTAATATAAAATGGAGGATGATGAACGTCTATCGGGACTGACACCGAGTCCTGAGGTTGGGTTACAGAGCAGTCACCTATATTTGCGATGCATAAGTCCAAAATTCTGCCGTTCGAATTTCTAATTCCGTTATATTGATAGGAATGATGGAGAATCATGAAGTTCCGTAGAACATCACAAACTGATGAAGTTCCAGAACAAGCAAGAGCATTACAGTCCGTCTGGTGTTGCCAATGAGCATCAGGTATATTGAAATCCCCGACCAGTAGCAAGTTGGATATACAGTTTTCTCTTATGATTTCATTTAAAGTTTCAAAGTACAAATTATAAACTGCTATAGGTGACCTGTCCGGTATGTAAACTGCCCCAAATAAATAACAGCCATCTAGTTCACTGCTAGGTATCTGAATAAGAACCAATTCTAAAAATTTTGACATAGGTGTGAGTGATGGTGAAATACTAACAATCCATAAAAATATTGCTTCAATACAAGAGAAGGAACGACGGCATCACATGTTCACATGATTTTAATAGATTGTATAAGGATTTAGAACTCGATCCATTTACCACAAGCACTTCCAGGGTGCGTAGGCGACTAAACCTTAAATTTTTTGAATGAATATCTATGTTTTATACTTTTAAGTGCATTGAATTCGCAAAACCTATGTAAAGATACACTGTGGCTAGCCGTGGAGACCTGGCTTTGTATTAGCATATCCTGAAATTTTATTCTTTGTAATATAGCTGTTGGTTACGCGAATTAAAATAAATAAATAAATACGAATACCAATAAAAATACTTAGAAATGAGATTGCAAAAAACATTTTTTTAAAAGAGTAACGATGGAGTTTCTTGCTCGTTCTTCTCCATTCGAAAGTACACTGTGGAACGTGCGCCTAGCTTCACTGGCATACGGACGGACGGACAAATTAATTTTTGAAAGTGCCTAATTAAATATTAATTCAAATAAATGCTTTGATTTTGAATTGTCGAGGACTCACCTTCTCATTATACTCTTCCTCGCCATTATACCTCATGATCTCAGGCGCCATGAAGCCTTCCGTTCCACCGAAACCCTTGGTCCCTGACGGTGGAGCCAGCCTACTAATACCTGTTGGAAAAAAATATAAATTTAAGAATGATGACGAATGTTTGAGGAACTAACAACATTAAAACTATGGCAACACTCAATGAAAGTACATTAAATGTCATCAGCTGTGATCGAGTTTGTTTTGCGAATCATTTTTTGTTAGAAAGGCACTAGATTGGAATGTAAGTAAATAAAACTTAAGAGGAAGTGTATGGGACATGCAAAAGAGCAATTTGGACTGGAGCGCAACTGATTGTATTTCGAGTATAAAGTGATTTTCAATAGAACGGAGGCCCAATTACCCTCCCCTTCCCCAATCTCCTCAATACCTGAATCCCCAACAATACTCAAATTCCTAATCCCCAAGAGGCCGGTAACGCACTTTTAACGCCTCTGGTGTCCCAGGTGTCCATGGGCGACGCCGATTGCTTACCATCAGGTGATCCGTCTGGTCGTTTACCGGCTTATTCAATAAAATAAAATACTAGGTTTATCAACTTAGGATTATGTTTTCGCTTGTACAGCGGTTATGACGGGTAGGTCATATTACTGTTTATATTTTTATCTGCCAGAAATGACAAACTTACAAAATAAACGATTTTAAGTCTAAAATAATTCCATTGCACATTTCTTTTATTTCTAGTTTAGTTTTGGTCTGCCTCATTAGCCAAGTGCCGGGCAAGGGGCTCGAGTTCGATTCCCGTGTCGGGCAAAGTATTAATGGGTTTGAAAAAACCTCAGTAGTAGCACGGAGTCTGGAAATGTGTCCGGTATATGGCAATAGGCCCACCCCCTATTACATGGGACTCATAACATAAATAGTGAAAAGTGGGTGTTACATTGTACAGTGGCATTAAATGCCGTAATGTGCACCCCTGCCCACCCCTTCAGGGATAAAAGGCGTGATGTTATGTTATGTTTTGGATTTCATTTGGTTGGGACTTACGACCTGTGGCGCCCTCATTGATTTTAATTAATAAATAGACAATATGTATGTTTAAATTCTTACGCACCGTAATCTCCTAGCTTGACGTGTACGTTGAGTGCGGTGCCGTTGACTTCTTCTCCCGGACGAGGCATTTTCCAAACTAGTACGTTTTCAGACTGGAATATAACAATCATTTGTATTATGTCGTATTAGAAGTAATATGGTCTTGAATAGCCAAAATGGCATAGAATAACAATGCATTCAACTGACATCTAAAAGAGAAAAAAAATATGTTTTTGTTTTTATAATAACTATTGTAAGACGTATTAAACTGTCAAACACCGCGAGGACACCGGTGACCGCAACCTATTGTTCCATAATTGTGTCTATTATGACGGTACTCAACGAGTTAAATTAGGTTGGCTGCGCGACATCGCCGCGACCACGCACGCTCCTCATGAGGAAGAGCCCTTCTGTGGGAGGGTCATACTCCGGCACGAACGTGCCGGTTCAACCGGAGTGATACCACGACCTCACAGAAAATTGACGTGAAGCAACGTTTGCGTTGTGTTTCGTCAAGTGAGTAAGGTTACCGGGGGCCCAATTACCCCCTCATACTTCCCAATCCCTAAATCCTCCACAGTCCTTAAGTTTACAATCCCCAAAAGGCTGGTTGCACACTTGTAACGCCTTGGTGTTCCAGGTGTCCATGGGCGGCGCCGGTTGCTTACCATTAGGTGATACGTCTGCCCGTTAACCGGCTTATATGCCATAAAAAATTCTTTTATACGCGTGGCACGCAGACAGGACAATAGGCATGGCGACTATTTTTTAATTTTTTGTCCGTCTTTTAGATATTTTAAAAATCTTCGATACGTATTTTTTCTTTTTTTTCGTATCCAAAAAAACATGTAGATATTTCGAGTTAAAATGACGCGTGACGTCACAATTAGGTACGATTTCTCCGTAAGTGTGACGTCAACACCCCCCACTCTCTAACTTTAATGCGGAATAACTACGTATTCTTCTGTTAATTTGATAAAACAAAAAATACGTGTCTGATATTTTCGTGCGATCTTAATGACGGACTAATTACTTTTTTGATTTTTTTACCCTGTCGACACGTCTATTCTTCTGGGCTCGCGGTTCGGCCGCTTTACGACGTTGGAATCATGTTCGTGCCAACCTAAAAACGTGCTCAAACCAAACAGTGGCGGCGCGGAACAACGGATCGCCGCCGCGCACCTTCGGTTTTCGTGTCTGAACAGGCTTTTTAACATCGTACGGACAAGTTTAACACACGTGGCGGGCGGCTCGCTTGTTTGTATTGTTGTCGTGCACAACCTGCATATTAAATAACGTTGCTGTTTACATGTAGACAGGTATACACTTACCTTGAGATCCCTGTAGACCACTCTTCGGGCATGTAGATACTCCAGCGCCCGCGCGACCTGCAGCGCCAGCGCCCGCGCCAGCCGGGGGCCGCAGCGGGCGCCCATTGACCGGTAGCTACGGAGCACTCCGTCCAGTGCGCCCTGGGGGAACAGGGAGGTTGTTATTAGATTAAAAGTGTAGAGTGGGAGAGCCATGCTTCGGCACGAATGGGCCGGCTCGACCGGAGTGATACCACGGCCGAGCAGAAAACTGACGTGAAGCAACCACAGCGTTGTGTTTCGACGTGTGAGTGAGGTTACCGGAGGCCCAATTACCCTTCCCTTCTCCAATCTCCCCAATTCCTGAATCCCCAACGATCATCAAACTGCTAATCCCCAAAAGGCCGGTAACGCACTTGTAACGCCTCTGGTGTTCCAGGTGTCCATGGACGACGCCGATTGCTTACCATTAGGTGATCCGTCTCGTTTATTGGCTTATGCAATATAAAAAAAATGTGGTCGAGGTCATTGAAGATCATGCACAGGAAATGTGGCTACAGATTAAGGGCCGCAATTAAAAACCGCTGTTAATCTAAAATCTATATAGATAAATAAAATTGGAGTGTGTTTGTAATATTGAAATAAGAGTAAGCTTTTTGTACAATAAGTTTGTATTTAGTATAAAGTAATTTTGAAAAAAATAAACGTGTGATTGTCGCGAAACTTTATTCTCAACCAACTTGACACATTACAAAACTGGACTGTATGTAATTATCTATATATCGATAGCTAGCTATATACTAAAGGTATATTCATTAGTTTGTAGGTACTTGCTTAAATAGAAAGAAAGTACATTTATTCAGCACCAGACACGTTCTTGATTAGGATCGATTATTAATTTTGACTAAATCTATAGAAATGTATGAAATCAAACAAGTATTTCAGACTTTGCAAAGGCTTTTGGTTAAGATTACCAGGATTTTTTGCAAAAAAAATAATCTCTATTTGTATTTCTAGCAATCTGCTATAATCATATAGTTACATACTATTAATCGCAGCATAAAGTTTAACTATTCCACGATTTTATTCGAATTTCATAACGATTACTAGTGGTATTCCTCAGGGTTCTGTTCTGGGTCCCTTATTTATTAACCAAAAATAATTTATCACAGAATTTTAAACAACAAGTTTCTAAACATTGGCTTATCAGCAACATATTTGCGAAGAGTTCCTCTGAATTCGTGGTCGGTATGTAACTATGGTCGTTGGTTACTTACCATCAGGGTGCTTACTCTTGAAACCAATCTCAATGTTAATGCAATTTCAATCCAATAAAATCTCAATAATTATTCAATGTCAACACTACACAACCACGATCGTAGCTGTTACAATAGCATTCAGAGTACGGAATATAAAGACAAACTCAATACCATTTAGTTAATTCAATATCCACGCAATACGGATGCAATGGGCGCTAGTGTTACAACTCAAGAGTACGAAATTTCACAATACCAATGTCGATCGATCGGAATTGGATTCAAGAGTGAGCTGCCTGATCGTTTGCCAATTATAAAATTACAAAATGGTCTACTTACGGCGGGCGCCAGTGCGAGCAGTAGCGCGAGTGGCGCGGCGCAGACTGCCAGCAGCGGCAGCACGTGCTGGTGCCGGAGCTGGCTGAGGATGCTCAGCTCCTGCCGCAGCCCGCAGTACGCGCGGCACGCTGCCGCCGTCGGCTCACGTTCCCAGCGGGATAGGGCGGCCTGGAAGGTAAAAAAACATCATCATATCCTCATCGCAACCTCACTTTTAATCCCATTCCCTTCATCTCCCACCCTCCATTCTCATCCTTCATTCCCCATACCCCATCTCTCATCTTCATCCCCCATCCCCCATCTTCATCCCTCATCCTCCCCTCATCCCCATGTTAATCCATTACTAGGGGTAGAGTATACCTAATTCCTAATCTACGATAATAAACAGTTAGAAGGGTGTATAATTCGGATTCTTTGATTTTATTACATAGTTCGTTAGGTCGCTTTTTTTGGTCGACCTACGACCAAAAAAAGCGTTTTAAAAAGATATTAAACTGTCAAACACCAAGCGGTCACCGGTGACCGCAACCTATTGTTCTATAATTGTGTCTACAAAACCGGTACTCGACGAGTTAAATTATTTAAGTAAGATAAGACATGAGAAGATTGTAAAAAACATCTATATAAATAAAAATAAATTTCCGTTCGTGACTCTCGCTAAAACTAGAGAACGGCTGAACCGATTTGGGTGATTTTGGTCGTGAAATGTTCGTGGAGGTCCAGGGAAGGTTTAAGGTTTTAAGAAAAAAACAATTTAGGCGGTACGAATTTTGCCGGGTCAGCTAGTTTTTTAATAAAAAGAGTAGCGATGGAGTTTCTTGCTCGTTCTTCTCCATTCGAATCTACATTTTGGAACGAGCGCCTAGCTTCACAGACTGACGGACAATTAAATTTTTACGTTTTAAAAGTGCTAATTCTTTTTTATGGAATAAGCCGGTTAACGACTAGATCGACGGATCATTTGATAGTAAACAATCGGCGTCGCCCATGGACACCTGGAACACTTGACGTTACAAGTGCGTTACCAGCCTTTTAGGGATTACGAATTTGAGGATTGTTGGGGTTTCAAGGATTGGGGAGATTAGGGAGGGGGTTAGCTGGGGATTAATTAAAATAAATGCTTTGACTTCGACTTTACCTTATAAGCATGGTGAGCAGCAGTATCACTGTTAGCAGGCGGTGGTACAGGTTGTAGAGCCTTCAGAGCAACATGTATAGGTTCGGTGGGCCCCTGGGTCCCCGGCGGGGCCCGCCACGTGGCCGATAGTACGGTCCCGAAGGCCCCCCGTCCTGCTACAGCGCCCCGTTGGATATGCTCCCAACGGGCTCTCTTCGGTTCTTCTACGTCTAGTAGAAGCTAAGGATGAGAGGAATTCACATATTGATATATTATTTTTCATAAAAACATACTTCTCAGAGTAATCAATTGAGTTTAATTTTAAAACCTCGTTTTGTATTATGTTCCTGAATAATATTATATAATAATTTGCAATAGGCTCACCCCCTATTACATAGGACTCATAACATAAATAGTGAAAAGTGGGTGTTACATTGTACAGTGGCATTAAGTGCTGTAATGTGCACTTCTGCCTACCCCATTGGGGATAGAAGACGTGATGTTATGTTATGTTATTAAAAAGTAATACATAAAAAATATTCTTTATGTTAAACGGTCCTAAAGAGCTCTATTCTACCAATCAAGCCTTTAAGTTTGATATCCATAATATGGTAGTTTCCTAAATTTTATTTCAATTTCCGTCTGGTACATTAATTTAAAACTTTAGACACGTATTTTTCCTTTTCTGACAAAATTAAATACTTTCTACGATATATTAATTTGAAATATCGTGTGACGTCATAGCGTGACATATTTTGTAGCACGTTATGACGTAACGACCTCCCACTTCTAAACTTAGCGCCATTTTATCTAAGTATTGCAACTTAATACGAGAAAATGAAAAATACGTGTCTAATATTTTTCTATTATCGAGCTGACGGACTAATTAGATTTTTAATTTTGATACCCTGGCAACTACCTAGGCAGAGGTAGTTGTGGAAACAATTAGATTATATTGTATGGTCATCAAGATTAAGAGTGTGTACCAAATATCAGATCGATCTGATGGCTTACTCTTGAATCCAATTCCGATCGATCGACATTGATATTGTGAAATTTCGTACTCTTCAATTGCAACACCAGCGCCCATTGCATCCGTATTGCGTGGATATTGAATGAACTAAATGGTATTGAGTTTGTCTTTATATTCCGTACTCTGAATGTTATTGTAACAGCTACGATTGTGGTTGTATAGTGTTGACATTGAATAATTACTGAGATTTTATTGGATTGAAATTGCATTGACATTGAGATTGGTTTCAAGAGTAAGCACCCTGTCGCCGGGAAGGGGGTGAAATTACAATTACTAAATTTTACCCACACAAACGGGCCGAGCTAAATAAAACTGATAAAATAGCCTACAAAATAATTTTTAAAACTCACAGTATCAGGTGCCACCAGCCTCAGTTGCACCAGACTATCATTATGCAGTGGACAGTGCAGCCTGGAGTTGGTGCAAGCGGCCAGGATGCACTGCTCCACTGTCCAGGCGGTGGCCAGGGTGTAGGGAGCTGGCTCGTTGTTCACTACGCCTTCTACTGAACCCAGGCGGGAAGACGCTGGAAGAGAAGGTCCTTATGAGCGAATACTGCTGAGCCAGGGCGGCAGATATGTGAATAATCCATTGTCGGAAGACGATGAGTCCAAGTTTATTCTATCAATAAAGTTAGCCCTGCTTGGTGGAACCCCTCCGCGCCATCAGTAGCTGAACATCCAGGTGTTTAATCGCTACAGAGAGAAATATCATTTTCAGTGTGGGAGAGCCATGCTTCGGCATTGCTGGGCCGGCTCGACCGGAGTGATACCACGGCCGTGCAGTAAACCATAGTGAAGCAATGCTTGCGTTGTGTATCGTCGTGTGAGTGATGTTACCGGAGGCCCAATTACCCCCTCCCCTTCCCTAATCTCCCCAATCTCTGAATCCCCAACGATCCTTAAACTCCAAACCCCCAAAAGGCCGGTAACGCACTTGTAACACATCTAGTGTTCCAGGTGTCCATGGGCGACGCCTATTGCTTACCATCAGGTGATCCGTATACTCGTTTACCTACTTATAACATAAGTTACTCAATCACATGAAAACGGCTGAAGGGATCGAGATCAAATTTGGAATAAGGGTAGATTATGGTCTCATATAACACATAGGATAGGCTACATTTTTTCCCACTTTTATAAGATAGTATTCATATAAACTGTTTGCTGCGTGCAAAGAGCATGTTTATGAGCCCCGACATAATATGAAATAGGTCGAATATCCTCGAACAGTTTACGTGAGTAGGCCGCATTGTTTGTAAGTGACGTAATGTGTACCTCCACCTAACCTTTTAGGGATAAAGGCGTGATGTTATCAATACATAGTATAAAACAAAGTCGCTTTCGCTGTATGTCCGTATGTATGCTTAGATCTTTAAAACTACGCAACGGATTTTGATGCGGTTTTTTTTAATAGATAGAGTGATTCTTAAGGAAGGTTTGTATGTATAATACATGCATATTGCACCCGTGCGAAGCCGGGGCAGGTCGCTAGTGTTATATAAATCAAAAAAATTTAAAAATCTCACCGTTGGACTCGGCCCCGACGCCGCTGTCTCCGTCAGAAGTCCTGGACTCCTCGGACAGACGCAGCCGACGTGGTTCCACTGGACCTAGTTCTAGACGTCTGAATGCCTGCGAATATTAATATATTTGTAGCCTGGTTAACACCAATGTGACTGTTAATGTTTGACATCACTATCACTACATAGTATAAAACAAAGTCGCTATCCGCCGTCTGTCTGTCCCTATGTATGCTTAGATCTTTAAAACTACGCAACGGATTTTGATGCGGTTTTTTTTAATAGATGGAGTATTTCTTAAGGAAGGTTTATATGTATAATACATGCATATTGCACCCGTGCGAAGCCGGGGCGGGTCGCTAGTTGTGTAATATCTAAGAAGTGTGGGAGTGCAATGTTTCGGTACTCGCGAAATGATACCACGGCCTCACAGAACATCGGCGTGAACAACCACATCGTTCTGTACAGCTGTGTCAGTGATGTTATCGGAGGACCAATCTCACCCCCCCATCCCTAATCCCCGATCCGTAATTCTCTAACCCCCACAAAAAACTGGCTACGCACTTGCAACGCCTCTGGTGTTCCAGGTGCGACGTCGATTGCTTAGGTACCATCAGGTGATTCGTCTACTCTTCAGCCTGCTAAACAAAATAATAATAATAATGTAGACTATCTTATATATATACCTGTGCGAGATGGTCATGTTCCTGGTGCGGTGCCGGTGCAGGCTGCAGACACTCCGGACAGGGCACCACGCGGGTGATCAGGCATCTACCTTCCGACGTGTGGACGAAACGGGTGCCTGGGGGGAGGCGGGGGGGGGGGACAAAAATAATGTTACAACAACATAAGAAACGTAATAAATGATGTTACCGGAACCATATTTGTGAAGGAGATGAGCCTGATTAGACGCTCGGTTTATTTATATGGCATAAGCCGGTAAACGAGCAGACGGATCACCTGATGGTAAGCAATCGGCGTCGCCCATGGACACTCGAAACACCAAAAGCGTTACAAGTGCGTTACCGGCCTTTTGGGGATTAGGAATTTTAGGATTGTTGATGATTCAAGGATTGGGGGGGATGGGGGTAATTGGGCTTCCGGTAACCTCACTCATACGATAAAACACACCGCTTCGGTTGTGTCAGTATGCCCCTGCGTAGTCTCCCCAATCCCCGAATCCCCCAATAATCCTCAAATTCCTAATCCCCAAAACGCATTTGTAACGCCTCTAGTGTTCCAGGTGTCCATGGGCGACGCCGATTGCTTACCATCAGGTGATCCGTCTGCTTGTTTACCGGGTTATCCCATGAATAAAACTATGAAAATTTTGTTAAAAGCACTCACCGAGTGATGGATACCAGTCTTCAAGCAGTAAGTCTACGTGATCAGACACTAGAGCCAGCACCTTCGCCAGGACCTCGGGACTCGGTTCCAAGCTGATACTCTGGAAACAAGAATTTATTATTTAAATATCATTAATTAGCTGTTGCCCGCGACTTTGTCTGCGTACAATACGATTCCTGTTTTTTCCTATGGGAGCATTTAGTCAGGATAAAATATCCTATCACCTAAGTCAGCCCATACTCTGCTTGTATACCGAATTACATCAAAATCCGTTTAGTAGTTTCAGCGTAATTGACGGACAAACATACAATTACTAGCTTCTGACCGCGACTTCGTCCGCGCAATCCCGTTTTCTCCTGTTCCCATAAAATTTTCAGGATTCTTTCTATTATAAGAACCTTCTCCTAATAATAACAAATACAACAAAAAAAAAAAAGAATTAGTGAATTCGGTCTAGCCGTTCTAAAGTTATGGCGTGACAACGGGAAACAGGTTTCATTCCTGAATGGGGTGAATAAATGTTAGAATATTTTCCCTACATTTATTCACCCCTCTTCTGTACCTATTCACCCCGTTTTACGTATTTAAGACATTAAGTAAAAACGCAGCAGCGTGCGCGGTCGCGGCGACGTCGCGCAGCTCAGTGAGCTGCGCGAGCTGCTCATGAGGAAGAACCCCTCTGTGGTTCGAAACTAGTAGAGCTTTTCTCAGTATATTCACGTGAGTAACCCGCGATTTTACTTAATTTAGTATGTCTCACGATAGTTATTATTTAAGACATATTTTTTCCGAAGATTACCGCGCTTAACTCGTCGAGTACCGGTTTTGCAGACACAATTATAGAACAATAGGTTGCGGTCACCGGTGACCGCTTGGTGTTTGACAGTTTAAACAAACATACAAACTCTCCAGCTTTATATAATAGTATTTTTTTTTAAGGGGGGAAAATCATCGAATGACTGCTCCCGCCTGGGTGAGGCGGGAGGGAGTGTCAGACTCTTACTGACTAAAAACCACCCCGTTCCTTCTCCTGCACTTCGAGCCGGAGCCCCGGTTACCCGTTAGGTTCTCCGCGACTATATAATAGTATTAGATATTAGATAAAAAATCCAATCAACGTTTTTTACACAAAGTCGAAATTACACTTTCACTGATACACACAATCATTCCTATTGATTCCCCCTAGTGCTTTCCATCATCGTACCACAAGACGATAGGGTAGTTTCCTTAATTTTATTTTAATGTCCGTCTGATAACGTAACTTAAAACATTAGACACGTATTAAATCTTTTCTCACAAAATTAAATATTTTCGACGATGTAATAATTTGAAATATCGTGTGACGTCACAGCGTGCCACATTTTGTAGCACGTTATGACGTAACAACCTCCCACTCGTAAATTTAGCGCCATTTTATCTAAGTATTGCAACGTAATACGAGAAAATAAAAAAATACGTGTCTAATATTTTTTCATTATCTAACTGACGGACTAATTAGATTTTTAATTTTGATACCCTGGAAACTACCCAATCGGCGAAGCGAAGCGCTTCGCATCAAGCTTCCTTGTGCGTACTGCTAAGGAGTGGAATTCTTTGCCAGAGTCTGTATTTCCTGAAGGGTATAACCTGGGTATCTTCGAGGCCCGAGTGAATAGGTTGCTTATGGGTCGACGTGCTCCATCGTAGACCGCATCATCGCTTACCACGTCGGCCCATCAAATACATAAGAAAAACCTGAATACTACTTTTTAATCAAAAACAATAAGGATCCGTACCTGATACCCGGCGATGGGCAGCCCGTCATCCCTTCTAATGACACAGACCTGCGCCGGTAACAATATCTCGACACAGGCCGAGGACTGCACGTCCAGCTCGCACCATGCTCCTTCTTGACGTACTCTGAACCTAGAGGGAGAGGGAACCATCTTATTAGACTGCCTCGTTGGCCGAGTGGTCGCAAGTCCGACTGCCGCCGGCAAGGGGTCTCGGGTCGGATTCCCGGGTCAGGCAAGTTTTACTGGGTTTTTTCAAAAAATCTCAGTAGTAGCATGGAGTCTGGAATTGTGCCCTGTATATGGCAACAGGCTCACCCCCTATTACATGGGACTCATAACATAAATAGTGAAAAGTGGGTGTTACATTGTATGTACAGTGGCATTAAGTGCTGTAATGTGCACCTCTGCCTACCCCTTCGGGGATAAAAGGCGTGATGTAATTATTTTTTAAACTCTTACCTTATATTATGATACATATCTTCAACTGGCTCATCGTCAGCGGGTCCTGGTAGCAAGGCATCCCTCCTGGGAGGCAGTTCCCTCAGAGCTAACATAGTTAGAGCTCCAGTCGACACTCGGGCTCCACTGCGCCAGAGACGCCAGCCCCAGGACAGTTCCAAAGCTTTGGTTAGAGTATCATCTAATTCCATCTAGAAAAAGAAAAGGTACTGTGAATTAAAACTGCTAGCTAAGGAGGAGGCAGAGCACGCGAGGGAACGAACCTCCTCACGCCCCGGCCGTCGCGATAGACACTCCGGGCGTCGGGGATCGGGAGACGATCTCCAGCCACCGTAAGCACGGGCCTGGGACGGCGAGCACGGGCGACTCACCGCCCGGCCAGAACCAGGCCCGAGCGTACGACGCCCAGCGGTCCGCGCGACACAAGGTGACATCAGACCACCACAGATGGGGCCCAATAGGGCCGATGCCGATTCGGAGTCGCGGAGAACCTAACGGGTAACCGGGGCTCCGGCTCGACGTGCAGGAGAAGGAACGGGGTGGTTTTTAGTCAGTAAGAGTCTGACACTCCCTCCCGCCTCACCCAGGCGGGAGCAGTCATTCGATGATTTTCCCCCCTCAAAAAAAAAAGTCTATAATATACCTTTATTCAAAATTTTATGCCGATCCGTTCAGCCGTTTTGACGTGATTGAGTTATAAACATACACACGAACTTTTGCATTTATAATATTAGTAAATTTAAAGTTACCTCAGCCGGCAGCTTGTACAGTGAGTATGGAGCATCAGCGAGTTGCTGGTCAGCCAGGAGCCGGGCACACAGCCGGGGCCAGAACCCGCACGGCACGTACGACAGCAGGAGCAGGCGGCGCAGGGCCCGGCCCCCCCTACCTGACACACACAGCTTTGGGGCGCCGTCCTCTGGAACCAATGTGGGGTGTTTGGTATCGGATTTTCGATACCATGTTTGGGATCGGATATTCGATACTTCGTTTAAATTTTGTACGTAAACATTTTGGAACTCTTTGATTTGTATGCTTTTTATAATAGAGGTCATAAATATTAATTTTTCTAGCAATTAATTATGATTTATGATGAACACTTGTAAAATGGATAAGATTTATAATCCTAGGGAAATATTAAATAAAAGACGGAGTGTAATTTAACAACGACGAAACGTATATTGCCAGACCACAGATAAAATAAAAAAAGAAAATCAGGTACAGACAATTTGACATCCATAGATAAAACAATAGATAAAATTAGTAAATGCGTTCATACTTCATATTTCATCAAATAAAATACAAATGATGAAGAAATCACGAAAATGTATTAATAAATTTTGATATAATAGCGATTTCCGAAAAATTCTGTATGAAAGGTGCAACATTTGGTAAAATATTCAATAAACATTTAGCTTACAAAACGTAAGTATCGATAATTCGATACCAAACATACGGTAGTCATAACACTATACAAATAAATAAAATATATTTATACTCACGTATTAAAGTAGGGGAGTCAGTCCCCCTACTATCGGGTAGAGGGGTGAGTTGCGGGGGCCAGGCGCGGCGGGGGGTGCCCCTGTTGGAGCTGCACCAGGAGCGGGAGCGCACCGGCAGCTGAGGTAGGGAAAATGATGGGTTAGCGATATATGCGATCAATGTGTGTAATGACAAAAGTTAAGCACCCCAACCCGCGGCATAGAACTAGATGGGTGACCGTAACCTCACCTGTGGAGTTGCAGGTTCCAGCGGCGGTAGCAGCGGTGGTACGAGCAGGAGTCTCGCGTCCCAGCATAGCGCCAGCTCGAACTTGTTCAGCAAAGATACTCCGAGGGAACTGGCCTCGTCTCCTCTGGCTAGCATGGGAGAGGCCTTGAACACGTGGGCTAGATCTTCTATCTTCATTATACCTGGTGATTAAACAACACAAGTAATATATAAAATAGGGATAAATGGGGTAAGGACGTAACAGAGTGGTGCCCGAGACAATACAAACGAAGGAAAGGGAGACAGCGTCGTAGATGGGAAGACGATTTCAAAACAATAGCGGGACATAATTGGATGAGACAAGCGCAGAATCCCATCCGATGGCGAGCTCTAGGGGAGCCTATGCTGGACAGCAAGACAATCTTCATGTACCGGTGTCAAATAATTAAATAAGATTATTGTTAGTACAATTGTAAGAAAGATTGTTAAATGTCTATTATTATTATTATTCATACATAAAATATATATTGTTTATATTTCTATAATAACTATCATGAGACATACTAAATTAATTATGCACGATGCTCATGAGGAAGAACCCCTCTGTGGTTCGAAACTATTAGAGATTTTTTCAGTATATTCACGTGAGTAACCCGCGATTTTTAGATATTGTTTATATTAATCGGTTCTAATGAGCTCTATTCCACCAATCAAGCTTTACGTTTCATATCTATAATGGAGGTAGTTGTGGAACAATTAGATTATATTGTATAGTCATCATTCATCAAGATTAAGAGTGTGTACTAAATATCAGATCGATCTGTCGTCGGGAAGGAAAATTAAAAATCAAATTATGTCTCACGATAGTTATTATAAAAACAAGGACCATTTTCATAAATCTTTGGTTTTAACTTAAAAGGTCACCCATCAAATTCCATAACATAACATCACGCCTTTTTATCTTCGAAGGGGTAGGCAGAGGTGCACATTACGGCACTTAATGCCACTGTACAATGTAACACCCACTTTTCACTATTTAAGTTATGAATCCCACGTAATACGGGGTGTGTTTATTGCCATATACCTCTAGTATACCGGGCACATTTCCAGATTCCGTGCTACTACTGAGGTTTTTAAAAACCCAGTAATACTTTGCCCGCCCAGGGAATCGAACCCGAGACACCTTGCCCAGCAGTCGCACTTGTGACCACTCGGCCAACGAGGCAGTCATCAGCCATAATATTCCAGTCCTTATCTATTGTTGCTTACCATTGTTAGCAAACGGGTTGATCTCCCTGACAGTGACGACGTGTGCCAGTACATCACAGAGCCACTGAGGCTTCAGGAAGTACAACTCTTTGAGGGTCGCGTCGTCGTAGTGGAGGAGGACTCCTGAGGAGAGGAAAATGTGGTTTAAAACATACTTTTAAAAGTAGCTATTCACGGGCGGTTTCGCCGGTCGCTGCTCGGCTCCTATTAATCGTAGCGTGATGATTTATAGTCTATACCCTTCCTCGATAAATGGACTATTTAACACAAAAACAATTATTCAAATCAGACCAGTAGTTCCGGAGATAAACACATTAAAACAAACAAACAAATAAACTCTTCACGTTTATAAATTACAAGTAGTTTTTTTAAAATTGTCTAGCAACCCGCCCCGGCTTCGCACGGATGCAATATGCATGTATTATACATATAAACCTTCCTTAAGAATCACTCTATCTATAAAAAAACCGCATCAAAATCCGTTGCGTAGTTTTAAAGATCTAAGCATACATAGGTACATACAGACGGCGGATAGCGACTTTGTTTTATACTATGTAGTGATGGGCCGACGTTTGACTACTATTTCGCCTGGTGGTAAGCGATGATGCGGTCTACGATGGAGCACGTCGTCCCATAAGCAACCTATTCACTCGGGCCTTGAAGACACCCAGGTTATACCCTTCAGGAAATATAGACTCTGGCAATCAATTCCACTCCTTAGCAGTACGCACAAGGAAGCTTGATGCGAAGCGCTTCGTGCGTGTGGGTGGGACATCTACCATGAATCGGTGACGCTTCGCCGATTGTCGTGTGAATTCGGAGACTATCGCGTTAAAAAAAAAATAAACAAATATAAGTTATTGATATTTGATTACCGTTTTCATGTAGGAACATAGTAGCTTGGTGCAGTTCCGCTGCATCGCGGAACATGCGATGATTCTTCTGTTGCATGTACTGAGTTACCTGAGACAAGAATCACAAAAATATAAGGTGACAATAGACAAGAAAATCTTGAGTCTCCTCCCGACCTGGGTGAGGCGAGAGGTAGTGTCAGACTCTTACTGACTAAAAACCACTCCGTTCCTACTCTTGCATCCGGACAGGGACCTTTTTTTTTTTT